TGCCTTAGAGGTCTCTTCCTTAAGGACAAGACCTGGGAAGACACTCCACGTTGAATGGCTTGGTCACTCAGGAATGTAACAAGAGATTTAAGGGTGTAGCTCAAACCTGGGCTTCAGGGATGGAGACATCATACTAGGTAAATGAGCAGGACACTAAGCCTAATGACCTGAGCTTGATCTCTGGAATCCACATGGTGGAAGAGGGGAACCCTTGGCAGCTTGTCCTCTGGCCTCCACACAGGTAAACAGAATAAAATGAAACCCTGGAGTTCAGAGTCATAGACTTCCCATAGTTCATTGTGCATCTTAGCAACATATTCAGTATGGACCACACACAACGGTCATCACTGAGGAGAGAATCAAGGGCATGATCACTATATGCACAAGGTTATCAGTGGACAGCATGGCCAGAATATTTGACAGCTGAAAATATCACTAGAAAAGAGTTCCATAATTATAATTAAAGAAAGCTTGATCCTTGGTTGTGAACTTTGGAAATTAAGGACTTGTGTGGAAAAAATCAGAGAATAAAGCTTGAAAGAAGTCTATATTTCACATTTACAATAAAAATAAATAGTATAAGAGCAAAATATTAAATCTAGTTTATATACACAAGAATGAAAATGATTTGTATGTTTAAATCATTAAATATAATAAATTGTTAAAATATGAGGTAACTTTCTATAAATTTGATTGGTATTGATTAAGTATTTATTTCTGGTGTCATCAGCATGTATTTTATGTACTACGCAAATACCTATGGTTATTAACGCAAGAAATATCTACCTGACTCTGGTTTACATTAACTCATACTACACACGACGAAGAAAAAAATAACTGATTTACTGAAGTTACTATACATTACTGTTTGTCTATTCTCTATGACTATTATATTTTATAATCCTTTTGTATGTATGTGGCACATGAGTGTACATATTTGTATGTGTATAGGAGCATTTGCAAGCCCAAGGTTGCTATTGAGTCTCTACCTTACATATGGGAGCAGGATCCCTTGTTGAACAAGAGCTCACCCATTTTGGAGAAGTTGTAGCTAGCCTGTTAGCCAGGGATTCTGTGTATTCACTTCCCACATGCTAGGGGCACAGGCAGGCTGCCATATTCACTGGCTGCTGTGTGGACTCTAGGGATTCCAAACTCCAGTCCTAATGCTCACATAGCAAACATTTTAACCAGCCGAGCCATCTGTGTCCAAGTTTAAATGGCAACTCTGACAGTAGCATCAAAGATGGATTTCAGAGAACTTACAAGAGAAGTCAGCCAGAAGACAACCGTCATCTCTAGATAATAGAACTGGGCACCAAGGCATAAGCTGTGGCCTTAAAACAGCAGCAGAGAAGTTAGGGGCAAGAACTGGCATACACTGGCCATGACTCTGGGATTCTAACCCCCCCCCCAGAGTCTAACTGATGGTAAGAGGAAGTTCTAAGGGAAAAAGAAAGACTAAGAGGGGAGCTGGGGGAAATTAGAGGAGCCATGGACAACCTAATTCCATGTATCTCATCAAAAGCAGAAGCATATGCTTGTGTGTGCAGTAGAGGCCGTGGAGGTGTATGGACTTCTGAAGTAGACCTGAGGGTGAATGCTATGTGGGCTGTTCACATTTAATCGTCTATTTCACAAAGGGAAAGGGAACAACACCCAAAAGGCCTCCTCCCTAGTGGGGCTTACATTGAAATTTGGTGAAGTAGACACATGTATTTTAGAACCAGGGCTAGAGATGTTGTTTAATAAGTTTTAAAAAACCCTGCTGACAAGAATGAGGACTTGAGTTCAAATCCCTAGCACCCACGTAAAACTCAGTTTGGACATAATACACCTGCAACTCCAGTGTTGTTGAGATAAGAAACAGACTTCCTGGGGCTTGCTGGGCTCCAGGTTCAGTGAAAGATGCTGTCTCAAGGGGATAAAGCTGAACATGACAGAGCAGGACACTTGGCATCTTCTTCTGACCTCAGAATACAGGCATGTGCACCTACCCACACACACACACACACACACACACACACACACACACACACAGAGAGAGAGAGAGACAGAGACAGAGACAGAGAGACACAGAGAAACAAAATACTCACAGATAAATCTTTAAAAACTTTTAAAAAATAAAACAGAAAAGGCATAATAAAGCCATATTAAGTAATTATATAGAGCTTGTCAAAGGCGTGGACAGTTGAATTCAAAATCTCCACCAATTATCAAATGTTTTAAAAAAGCTTGTACAAAAAGAGCCATTTTCTTTCCTTTCCTTTTGCTTTTCACATTTAAGAAATAAAATATTAAACACCAGTTCTCTTGGTTTTAATTTTTTTTCATTTACAAGCTCTAGTTAATTACACCATAGGTGAGCATAGGCGACGATGTACTAGGGTGAGTGCGGTGGTGGAGAAATGAGGAATGTGTGCTTAAATCTGGCTTTCAAACAAGGGAATCAGCAAGAGTTCTTGGATCTTGGGCCATCACATTCTGATTTGCTGAGTCTGGGTAGCTACTGAGATTCCAGTTGTTACCAGCTCCTGGCTGTGCCGAAGCCTCTGGGTTTGCGAAGGCCAGGGCAGGCTTCGAGGTGCCTTGCAAGTGCATTGACCTGAGCTCAACATGGGGCTGTGTTTGGTTCTTGTTCATTATTAGTATTGAACTCAGAAGAGCATCACTGCACCATGCCCGACATTTCTCATCATGTCCATCTGTATACTTTATGCAAACCTAGTCAGAGCCCAGCATGGGGTGGTTGCATGAAGATCTTGTACAAGAGACTTACGATGGATTACCAGATTCCTACAATTCCCCGAGGCTGGTACCATGATTGGTCCAATGTTATAGAGGGTAAGAATTCACCCTGGAGAAGTTAATCCATACCAGTTAAGTAAAAAAGGATTCAGAATCCAGGGGGTAGACCAGATACCAAGCTTATGAGATCTGCCTTCTCCTTCCTGTATCATGTCATATTCCCTTCTGCTGCTGTACCAGAAATATCATGCAGGGGACTGCTTTACCCTCCAATGCTGATAGACCTCAGTCTATTCTTCCATCAAAATGCCAGGGAGCTGGACTGAGGGTCCAGCTCAGTGAGGAAAGCACCTGCTGTGGAAGTGTGAGGACCTGAGTTTGGATCCCCGGGATGCAAGAGTAGCCAGGTGTGTATATCTGTAATCCCACTCCTAAAGTGAGATCAGAGATGTGGATGGAAGAATCCTTGGAAGTGAACAAGCCAAAGAGTAAGAGGCCCTGTCCCAAGCGAGCTGGAAGGAGAAGGCCCACACTCAGAGGTGTCATCACATACATTCTCTGGATCTTGATCACCCACACAAGAATAGGCACACACATGAACAAGCTTGCACACAAACACGCACACAGGAATACATCACACCTAGAAAGAAGGCAATAAAGAAACTACAGGGCCACAAAAACATCCACTTAAAGTTCAAATGTCCTGAAACTCTGCAAAGGGGAGGGGGAGCATTTAATATCGGGACTGAGATTTTTTTTTTGGTATTTACGAGACAGGGTTTCTCTGTATTGTTTGAGGCTGTCGGTCCAGCCTGGCCTCAAACTCACAGAGATCCGCCTGCCTCTGCTCCTGAGTGCTGGGATTAAAGGTGTGCGCTACCACCGCCCCGCAGGACTGAGATTTTGATTTGTTCTCAGGGAACAATATCAATTTGTAAAAGAGAACCCTGTGCATCTCAGGACTCTTAGGCACTGTCCCTTCATCACCAGAGTTCCTGCCATTCTTGAGGACAGCAGAAGTTCCCTCGAGAACTTTCCTAAAGCCACTATGAGGCCAATCACATTTATGATCTGGGCACAAACTCCACAATGTCCCAAAGCCTCAATATATACCCTTAATGTATGTCTTATTATTCTACTAATTTTGTGCCGTTAGCCTAAATGGCTGAGGTTGGGATGTAATGTACAAGAGAGAAGAATAAAATAATAATAAAATAATATAGTGACTACAAAGCATATTTGCACAAAGAATCTGCAAGACACTCTGCCATCCACCAGTAAGTTTGTCCTATAGACAGTCTGAAACAAATGACTTGGAATTCACTGGGTATTGGGACTTTTAGATATTCCTCAAGAGATTCTAAGTTACAGCCATGGTTATACGTCATGGAACATTCCCCCTTTCAATCTACAATCTGAGGGAGGGGGAATGGAATTCAGATGGCCAGTGAACTTGGATAAGAAAACAGTGACATCTGAATACCCCCTGGTCCTTCATAGAAGCTGGGCATTTCCTTCAGCGCTGAACATCAGCTAACAGGTCACCGATGTGCTGGCAGCTGAGATTGCACTCACTGATAGTCTTGTGGCATTTAGATGGTTATCACAAGACCTTGTTCTCAGTTACCGCTGTGATGATGCTATAGTTGTTTAAGGGGTGTGCTGTAGAGCTTCCAATACCTAATTCAATAAGAATATTACCTGTTAGTACTACTCTGCTTTAGCACTGTGACGATTGTATCCAAGCACTACTGTCTGATTTTACTGTAGCCTTGCATTTTACATGCTTCACTTCATTCAGTGTAGTCCGCAGCACGAGAAAGCATAGAAGTCCTGCACCAACAGGCTGCCCTAGCAAGCCAGAGGTGGCATTTGCATCCAAGGCCCTCCCAGGCGGGGACACCCTGAACCAGAGCTGGCTCTGGTCCCCCATTTCCGCAGATAAGGTGTAGCCTGAAAGGCAGTTCAACTCAGAGAATAGGATGCGCTGTCTCTTTCCCCTCAGCTGCCTCTTGCTCTTGGCATTTTGGAATGCCAGGACTGCCAGGACAAGTAACTCGAGCCTCCGAATTCATCAAAACACACAGCACCCAGTTCAAGCCCTGGCATAGAAGCCTGGGAGCCAGGCAAGCTCTCCTCTGCTGACCCCAAGGCCACAACTTCCCCAGTCACCACCCCTTAGATGCTGCAATGCTTCTGGTCCCAGGTAGGTGTCCTGGTGTTGGGGCAGTGCCTGCCCCTGGGCGGCTTACCTAGGCGAACGACCGGGCAGAGAAGGAACTGCAGGCAGACTTGACACGCGCCTCGCTGTGGTGGCTGGAGGGAATCCACCCGTGACCGTGACCGTATTTCTCTTCACTGGCTGTTCCGCTTCAATTCTGTGCGGTGGCTGCGAGCTGAAGGCCAGCAACAGATGTGCAGCCGCACGGGAGCTGCCAGCAAACCTGGCCTCCAGAGTCACAAACACCCACGAGCCTCCAGCTTAATCTGGGCAGGGCTGCTGGCCACTCCCTCCACCCCATGCAACCACCTCCCCACCTCACACCCCTAAATTCCTCAGGCTCACCCGCACCCGCTAGGCACAGCAGCCCCGGGATCTCAGGGATATCGACTCTTTCACCCTGACCCTGGATCCGAGCCCACCTGCCTGCTCTGCGGGCGCCCAACCCTTTCTCACTTCCTGGGCACGATGCCCGGTTGAAGGGACAGTGCCTGGCTAGCTGGGAGGGGAGACGAGGGCGGGACCTCGGCGGCCACTTCTTCCCTCCCTTAGAGTCGCAATCAAAAGCTTGGGTGAGGACAAACAGACCCGCGGTGGGTCGAGCCCTATAAAACTCGCCCTAGTGGGCCAGCAAGCAAGGCGAGCTTCCCAGAGGGACCTCCCCAATCTGTGTCCCTCCGGGGACACGGAGGCCTGAAAGCCCGTGGGTCCGGTGGATCCCAGAACACACTGGGACTCAGGACCAATACCCATCATGCACACGGAGAAGGCTCCAAGGTTGCAGACACTCCAGCTGCCTATCCTGCTGCTGCTCCTGGCCACACCATCTGTGGTTAGCAAGGTGAGTGAGTGTACGACTGTGTGACCCCACTGCTGCTTGTCCCTATCCCGGGAGGAACAAGCCAGTCCCACCCACTGGGGCGCTGTGGGGTAACTATCTGGAGGGTTGATCAGCTGGGGGCTTCTCCTGAGTCCAGGGAAAAGAGCAGCAGCCCCGTGCAACAGGTGGAATGGGCGGTACTGGTAGAAGCTAGGAGCCAGCCAACAACTGTCCAGGATCCCAGGAGTCCCAGATGGAGGTAAACAGCTTACAGAGATTAGCAAATGGATACCAATGAATAGGTTGTGGGTAAATGTATGCTAGAGATGGATATAATGTAACTAACTAATAGAGAGTAAATGTAAGTTACATAAGATAGGCAGATGATGATAAATAGAAGAGCAGGGATGATAGGTAGATAGGCAGTAGATGGATGGACAGGAGATGGGTTGGATAACAGATGATGGGTGGAGAGACAGAGAGATGAAAACAGTGATAATGGGCAGGGCAGGAGAAGTGTGGTGGCAGGCTGGTGAATGAACAGGTGACTAGGTGGGCTAGAAGTACCCAAGCCTGGGGTTGGGGGGCCTCCTTGGAGTCTCAGCCCTACTCCGTTCCAAACCAGACCTCACTTTGACTCTGCCTTCTCTGGGCTTCAGTGTTCCATTGGCACTCTCTGGACACAAAAACCATCACAGGAAAAAAAAATTCAAGACATAGAACTTACATTAGAATGAAGTAAGCAATATCACATGGGTTTGATTTCTATTTGGAATTTGGGTGACCCCGTGCTCATTTGAATATGCTCCATAATCCTTGTTCTTAACCCTAAAGATATCATCTCCTCAAAACTATGAAAATTGTTTTGGCTTGATTTTAATTTGTGAAACAGAAATTTAACTTTTCAGATGCTTGGCGTTATTTTTATACTTAAAAGTTAATTTGGGTACAGTAAGCTTCGTTTCCAACAATGACCAGGTGTCTTAGTCTTACATGACTTACATTAGAGATAATGGTCACAGAGTTACTTATGCATTACCTGAGAACGCTAAGGACCCATGGCTGTTTCCACTCCACTTACATTTTAAGTGAGGCATTGGAGCATCCTGGCTAAGCCAACACTCCGCTGGGCCCTATTCCACTAGATTACCATTTCCCCGCGGATACCCAGACTCGCACTTTTTGTGGTGTTTCTTTCTAATATCTGTGTGCTTGCATGCACAGCCACAGACCCATGGCAGTATGTAGTTGTGTTGTTTTGTTTTATTTTACCTAACGATTTCCAGGCTAAATGTGTCCGCTTGCAACCTATAGAGCTGTCTGCACCTGAAGTTAAGATCTACATGTTTTTATTTTTTCACTTTGTTGCATAGTTTCTAACAATGTGCTAAAAATGTTAATTGATCTGGTCACCCACCATTCATTCACAGGTAGGTGACTTAGTATCTTTGTATTTGCATTTTAAAGGAATTTTGTGACCTATGTAAAGTGGCTCTAACAATACCACATTTTTCAAGGTTAGTGAGATGACCCAGTGTATAAAAACTGATAACATGAATTCAATTCCCAACTCCTGAAAGTTGTGCCCTTTCCCCCTACCCAATGAATAAAAACAGTAAACTAAGACTCCCTAACCGAGGTGGCTAAATGCTGCTGGGCAGGATGGCCACAGCTTGTGCAAACTGGTGTGGACTAGCGACCAGCTTTAGCAGAAACCAGTAAGTTGAGAAAACCTTAAGGAAGTGCATGTTATACAAAGGCCTGGGGACACTCCAGAACAGTAATAATAATAATCTTTCTGAACTCAGAAGAAAAGCAGTGAGAGTGTGAAGGGACAGTGGACTCCTGGAAGAATCATCCCTGCAAAGTGGTGCCCAGGGACTAGAGAGATGGCTCAATGCTTAAGATCAGTTGCTCTTACACAGGACCTGGGTTCGATATCCACGTGGTGGTTTACAACCAACTGTAATTCAAGTCTCAGAAGATCCAATGCGCTCTTCTGGCCTCCATGGATAGCAAGCACACACATGGCCACATGCATACAAGCAGAGAAAACACATATAAAATGAAATGAGTCAATCTAAATTTTAAAATGTGGAACTCTGTAACTGCGGATCCCTCAGTTATATACTCTGTACAATTATATTGTTGTATTCTCCTGTATCTCACACGTAAAATTATTTCTGTTTTGAGTTTGGGGAGATGAAAACATTACAATTTAAGTTAATGATTACCACAGCGAATCCATCTGTTGTGTTCCTATTGAAGCTTGAGGTGAGTCTTTGTTAAAAGTATTACAGTTATTATTTCCACTGCACCTGCTGAATGAGACAGGAGAGGTTTCCTAATATTACAGAATGGGCCCTCATATTGTAGAGAAGAGATATCTCCAGTTAACCGATGCCCAGGCAGCATGTGCCAACATGGCTGAACCCACAAACTAACTGCTATGGTGAGCAGAGCAGATGGCTACTCTCAATCTGCTATGTGGGAGAACTGATGTCCCTCCAGTAGCCAGTAGGTAGGGGAAGGGAGAATCATCAGGCACATCTGGCTGTTGGCAGTCTAGAATTCTGGCCCTAAATGTGCCACCATTTTTCTAGGGGAGAAGCTAGGAATCTAATTTTTAATCATAAATGTCCCATATTAAAATTAGAAAGCAACTGAGTTCAGTTTTACTCAAAGCAGAATAACAAACAAGAAAAACAAAGAAAATCTGGGTGAGTGAAACAACGTGTAAATAAGAGTTACATCCAGCCTTTGGGCCAGCTTGTGTAGTATAATCTCTGTGCTATGTTGGCTGAGTGTCTCCAGTTGTACTTCAGCATTTCCCCAAACAGGAAGCTAGCAACAGTGCTGACCCAGCACGCCCCACTTAGCCAAGGTAAAACTGCCTGCCCACACAGTTTGTCCCCACCACCCAGGGAGATGGTCTTTAGGCTTGGCTGCAAAGCCAGGCATCACCTAGCTGCTCACTGTCCCTGCAGGCTCACAGCTAGCTGTCTTCTGCCCCCTTCACCCATTGTAAACGACCCGGCCCTCTGCTATTACTCCAGGCAATAGGTGAAGAATGCATGCCCACCTCTGCTCCCTGGATAAGGTAAAAGTCACCACTACATCAGCATTGTCATAAGGTCCAGGAAGAGCTGCAAGACTTGCGTAGCACATGAAGATGTTTTCTCATCGGAATTAATTTTCAAAATCAAGAACTTCAGTTGGATTAGTTAGCTCTTCAAACAAACAAAAAGTAATGTGATAGCACAAATTTATCTATTCTCAAGACTAAGCAAATATTAATAAAACTTGGCTTGTTGTCTCTCAGATTCCCTATGTTAGGAGGAAAAATACAAAATGTCATAATATCTAAATTCTTGACTTTCTTCCAGTCCAGGAGGTCTGTCTATGTCATTCTCATTAAAGATTTTGTGTTTATGCTCTCCACACAAGTGAGTGGTGTGTGTGTGTGTGTGTGTGTGTGTGTGTGTGTGAGAGAGAGAGAGAGAGATCTCCTTAAGAATAAATGTTATTTACTGTTTGTGGTTTTTCAAATATAATAGTTTCATAGTACACACTTGCTTTTGTAAACCATTGACTACTATGACATTGGGTTTATCCATATTGACACAATGCTATTATTTTGCAGAAATACCTGTTTCATAACACTCTGTAATATAAAGCAGGTTGCTCTTCTCAGCCCCCTCCTCAACAATGTAAGCCTGTCTTTACACTTTCACTTTACAAAGTTGCAATGCATGCCTCTCCACTCATCACCCTGTGACAACTGGAACTTGAATTTCTGGGTGCTTATAGAAAACGCAGTACTGTTACATTAATCTACAATAAAGCTGCATCACATTTACCCTTTCCCTTCATGCATGGCAAAAGCTGATTGCTGGGATGTTATCAAGTAGGAAGTGGGGCCTCCTTTTAACTAGTAAGCTTTCACACTTGTTCACCCCTTTATAATTCCCTCACTGAATTGTTTGGACTGCGTTCTGCCCGTTCATCTATTACAAACTGTGTCTTTCTTTTGCTAAATGTTCAGAAGTGATGTGTGCACATGAATACCAAACTTGTGCTATTCAGCTGTTATAAGAAGGTGATCCTAATCTTTGACTTACCTTTTAATGTAGTTATTGGTGTCCTAACGTACAACATTGCATCTAACGTAACTTCCAAGCTACCCATTTGAAAAAAAAAAGTCTGTAATCTAAATTCTTTATCCTGGAACTGTCTTCAACTTATAGTGTATGAATTCATTTTCACCCATACAGATAAGAAATTATCCCATATTCTTTCAATAGAGCATTCTTCCCTTGTTTTGCATTATGCCTGTAAACATATAAAGTACGTAGGCTATCTGTTCTATTCCCCTGATCCTTTGTGTTGTTTTGTTTTATTCTCTATGGTAATAACATAATGATTTTCGTCACTTTCTTTGTTTTCAAACTACGTCTTCTAGAGCAAGTCTCAGACGGAGCAGTCATGCCTGATGTTATTATTTTCTTTAATATACCACTGCCATTCTTCTATGGTCCTCTGGCTAAGGTCTGGCATCCACTTATCAAAGTTCTATCAAAATAATCCCTGTTGGATGCTAATATGCATTGCACATACTATATAGTCTATGCTGTAGCATTAACATGTGCCTGTCTCATACATATGCTACTGATTTTGAAACTTGAATGTGCGGGTCTAGCAACCTTCTTGAATTCTCTTATTATTTCTAATAGCTTATGCATTTAGATTTTCCATGTAGCTAGATATATTATCAGTGAATAATGACTTTACTTCTTTCTGAGCTTTATATATTTTGCCTCCTCTCTCTCTCTCTCTCTCTCTCTCTCGTGTGTTTGTGTGTGTGTGTGTGTGTGTGTGTGTCTGTGTCTGTGTGTGTGTGTGTGTGTGTGTGTTTGGGAAAGGGATTCCTGCACATGTGTATAGAGGCCAGAGGTCATTATTAGCTTCCACGATCTCTCTCCCCGTTAGTTTAGAGACTTGCCCTCTCAGTGATCTTGAAA